CGATATATGTTCCATTCTATATGCATCCGAAGAAGTGGGCTGTAGTCCACGAAAGCTTATGCTCTAATAAATTTGTTAGTCTCTAAGGTGCCACAAGTACTCCTGTTCTTCTCTCTCCTGGGAGAGGCGAGAAGCGCCTTGCATGGTACATGCTTGGTTGCTGCCTGCGTGCTTAGAGCGCAATTGGGTTTCATTGCAATGGGGGTGTGGTGTCTCCATTTGCCATGCCCTGGAGGCATCGCACCCCCGTACCCATCCTGTGCCAACCCACCCCATTTCTGCAGCGAGTAGGTCTTCCACTTTTGCCCCCATCATACACTGCCACACCCCCTGGCTTGAAGTGGTTTCTGTCATATGCAGGGTTTACAGTTTGGTTCAAAGGCTCTCAGCCCCCTAAAAAAAAAATGTCAGCACCCCCTGCTACCACTCCTACACCTGGGGAGCTAGCCTCAGTGCTGACCCCAGGTGGCAGGGTTGCACTTTTAGCTGCCACAGTGGTACCCTGCCCATGCACCTGTCCTGTCACTGGGGTTATGGTATGGTGGTACAAGCACCCTGCTGCCCCCAGTGAACAGTGCCCACATTATGGCACCCACAACCACCTTCACATTGAAGGCAGTAGCAAAACTCCCATTGACTTAAATAAGATCAAGTCCCTCACCGCCAGAGCTCAGATTTGCACAGCACTAAGCATTCCAGTAGGATACTTAAAGTTTTATTTTAAAATGAATGAAATGCAATCTAATGCTGGTACAAGGGCAGCAACTTGGTCAGCAACAGAAGAGTCAAGGTGTACACACCCAGGGCCGGCTCTACTGTTTTTGCCGCCCCAAGCAGCGCGCCGAATTGCTGCCGTGGACGGCAGGAGCAGTCCGTGTGCCATTAGAGCGGCACGGGCGTTTCCGCAGTGGCGGCAATTCGGGGGCAGCTTCTGTCTTCAGCCAGAAGACAGAAGCTGCCGAATTGCCGCCGCGGGCAGCTGAACATAGAAGCTGCTGCCGCCGCGGAAACGCACGTGCCGCCCTAACGGCACACGGACTGCCCCCGCCGTCCGCGGTGGCAATTCGGCGCGCTGCTTGGGGCGGCAAAAACACACGGACTGCCGCCCC